ATATATTCTATATGATATTCATCACCCTACAGTGCCATTAGTCTCGTTTGGAGCTACCATGTTAATTTTGGAATAAGCAAAATCCTGACTTTTGAAATGTGTTGGTCCTTTTCTTTGAGACAGATTACAAAGTCTCCACAAAGGGCACCTGGTTTCTTGCGAAATGACTCTCTCGCCACAAAAGACGCTCAGCACAAGTCCGATAAGAGAAAAACAGGATCCAGATCAAACACTCCGTTTGAATTGAGCAAAAACACTGATCAGTGCAAATGACAGTCTTTCAGTTTTTTCCCTCCTGACTAATGAGGAACAGTGGATGTCAAGAAACCAGTCCAGCAAATGAAACAGTCCTGTAACATATATTCCAATGGCAGTCACAAGTCTGCTTTCCAATTGCTTTTGTGTTTCTGAAACTAGACAGCTTCTCTTGTGCCCCTGTAGTGACACACAGTACATAGTTAAATGACGGAGAATTTCGGGCTCTAATTCAGTCATTTTAAGTCCAAGTTCAGGAACAGCATGTTGTCTGATTATTGAATGTGTCTAAAGTTTTTTTCAGCGTTAAATCCTTTTATCTATTTTATTCCTTATTCTAAAAGGACGTTTCAATACCCTTTTTTGAAAAGGTTAAAATAACAAAGTGGAACAAGAATAATAAAGGGGTCTGTGATTCACAAGTGGCATAAGGATATGAAAGCAGAACAAACAGAAGGGAAATGTAGTTCACTATGATGAAAATCTAAAGTCCTTCTTAGAAATACTTTAATACTCCGATCTCCCAGTGACTGCTCTGATTGAAAGTGACCCTTATCCCTCATTCCCAGAATGCCAGAGCTGTTCCTGCAGGGGTGGTGGGGAGTGGGGGGGCTGCCTGCGCTCACCTTGTACTTGATCCCCGATTTGAAGTAGCCCAGGAAGGTGAGCGACTCGTTGCCCTGGACCTCGCGGAACTGCACGGGGCCGCCGCCCAGGTGGTCGTCCAGCTGGGTGGCGAAGATGGCCGCAGCACCGCTCTCGTCCTGGGAGCACTCGTTTCCTGCGGGGACACGAACGAATCAGACCCTGGACGAGGCCCGTCAATTAAAAGCCACACCCCGATTCTGCTCCTGCTGGGTTCAAAAAGCACAGGGGTTATGCTGATCACATGGAACAAAGCTACCTTTGTTGGTGAAGTATGCACTTCTCTGACATGTGCGCTCGTATCAACTGCCTTCACTGAGGTTAAATAGCTCTTAGCTTCCCTCCTGACACTCCTAAAGGAGAGAGGACCTGCCCCCTGTCTGCTCAGGAAACAGCACTCCACTCCCGAAGATACTATCTCTTTAAGCCTTCTAAAACACTACTGCACGCGAAAAGCTTAAAACATCTGCTTTCAATATGTCTGTGGTTGCCGCCCAGCTTCTTTTTTTGGCCATTTTGGAGAAAGGTTTTGATCTAGATCCAGCAGCTGAAGAGCGTCTTTTTTAATGGCAAAGTAATATGGAAGTGAAGTGTAACATTTAGAATGCAAAGCTGTTCTTTTAGTTCTTCTACAGACTCCCCAGAAGAGTCTCAGCTCTCTCTTTTTGTGCATTTGTGACAGATATCCTAACAAACATTCTAATAGTGCTGGAAACCTTCTGTCAAATGGGAAAAGATTGAGAGTCGCAGTTCACTAGAGGAACGGAACTTTCTTCAGCTGTTGTGCCCCAAACACATGCTCTCTAGAGTTCATGTTGTGGGCCAGTAGGAGGCACTCTAACGAGTACAATCTCAATGTCAAAGTCATGAAAGATTTCTACCAAATTTTTTAATGCTGGGAAGTAAGAACAAGCCCCCCCAGCTCCCAAATCAAAATGCTTGACCTTCCAAGCATGAAAAAGAGGATTTAATGAATTGGGACCCTGGTGTCTCTTGTTCTAAGGAGCACTTATATAAAAAAAAAACTTACTCATAAGCCATTTCGATTGACCTTGCAGGGGTTTTCACTTGCCAAGACTGTTCTACTTTCTTCTCTTTTTTTTGCACCCTCACAAAAATAAACCACGGTCAGAAGCAAACCACTTCCCTTGTGCAGGAGACAGGAAACAAACGTAATCTCCGAGTCTGCGCGTGCGTGGACAGAGCCGACGCCCACTCACCCAGCCACATGTGGATGTTGTAGGAGGGGGCGGCCGTGGTTTGCAGGACGATGTAGGAGTCGCCTGTGAAGAAGCTGCCGTGGAGAGGCTTGGGGACAGGCTTCAGGTCCATGTTCTCAATCCTCCAGATCTGCAGGCCGGGCTGCTTCCCAGCACTCTCGAACTCTTTGTGGGACACCATGGTCTGGAAGGACAGGACAAGCGGCGTTATCCCAAACCAGACACCCAGACACCCTGTCCCGGGAGGCTTGGTCTGAAAGACTGCTTAGAGCACGTCTAGGGCTTCATTGAGTGAAGAAAAAAACGAATAGTAACTAGAACAGTAACTGGCCTGAAGCCGGACGACAGACTAAAGGAAGAGCCCTTTTAAAAGCCGGAGGGTGAGTAAAGGGAGGAATCTGGTTCTGCAGATTCTCCTGCAAACTCCCGCAGGTCAGTCTGCGAGTTCCCTTGACCGAGGCCCGGGGTACGTCGCCGACACCCATGCCAGGAAACACAGGAGTGACTCGCGGTTCCCCCGGAGCCTCACTTTGCGTCTGAAGCGGCTCCTCTCCCTTCGGCACAGAAGAATACTACTCACGGGGCAGGACAGACAGCGCAGTGTCCTCCTCCACGCCCTCCCACCTGTACAGCTCTTCCCCAGCCCAAAGGACCTACAGGAGGGGACCCCCCCCACTGAAGAGCACGTAAACCACAGAGACACGTGTTGACATTTTCATCCTCCACATGCTGGGAATGCACCCTGCCATCAAAATACTTGGGGTTTGTCCTGGCAAGGAAACGGCCTCAATTTATTACACAGGCAGGAAGCCAGGCAGGAGATCTGGAGAGCTTCCTAAGAGAAGCAGAACACATAGAAAACATACTTTACTGTAGCGACGCGACCGTGAGCGTCTCTGGGTAAGATAAACCAAAAGGACACTTCTCCTGAATGCGTCTTCCTATAAAAATACTCCCATTCCACTGCACTGGAGTCACCATTGGCAGCAGTTAGGATTAGGAGCTGCAGAAGGTCTTCGGAAATCATAACGTTGCAGCTGTTGTGCCTTTGGGCAGCATAGTGGTGCAGTGGTTAACACTGCCCTGGGCTCAGCACCTGGGCTCCTATCTACATGGAGCTTGCATGCTCCGTGTTCGTGTGGGTTTCCTCACACAGCTCAAAGACATACCGGGAGGTTAACTGGCTTTTGGTCAAACTGGCCCTGGTGTGAGTGTGTGTGTGTTTACCTGTGTGTGTCCTGCCCTGCTCTGCGCCTGTTGCTTGCCTGCTACCCTTCTCACACCTAAAGAAGGCTCTACAACCTAATGATAAATTTATTTTCTATTTCTTCCTACCTTTAAGTGTTAGAATTAAATCCTACTTGCTCCTCTGCATCATCGCACACTGACACAGCTCACCCCTCAGACCACCTCCTTAATTATTAACATGAAACGCACTAATGGAGTTCTAATACAGTGACATAAAATAGCCTCTAATCGGTTAATTGTCAACAATATAAAGGCAATGCAGATATTTGATTTAATGTTCATATCTTGTTCTGTATTTATAGAGTATCATATCCAAACCTAAAGAGTTAATGCTTTTAATACCATAAAACACAATTCTGTGTAATTACTATAATACGTAATCATTATCGAACAGAGGGGAACACAAACACATTTGTGGTTTTATCAGCGTTAGAGGGCCATCCTTCATCGTGGTTGTTATATGGCTGTAAGAAACTGGATTTCTGTATTTGGGTCAGCAGAACCTGACAATGCATGTCGCCACACTGAGTGAACAGACAAGTGCACAGTGATCAAGTCATTATCAACGACCCTTCCTCCTGGCTGGAGAATAACTGAGCCACATTCTTACAGCAGTGGGACAGGCCTGAGCACAACTGTGCAGAACTTTGTGATATTGGCAGCTTTCCTATGTCTGTTCTTGGACAAAATCACTGGCCTATTTAAAACATACAAACATAAGTTCAGCTCACTTGAGTTTTCCCCCTTTACTATGACTGTTGTATTTTTAAAATCAAGATACATTTGGTCCAACAGAAGAAAACGAAATGTTCATTTCTATATCTGGCAGGGACAGGAAATGTATTTGAGATGGCACTGACGGTGGCGTGTTTCTTATCCTGCTTCATTCTTTTCATATCAACATGAAAAAAAACATCAGACAAAGTCTTGATAAGATACAGAGCAGTCAGAGGTGCGGTAGTTCTTTCTGAGCAAAGCTGTTTGGAGCCACAGCGCCCCATTTTCTGAAACCAAAACAGGTACGTGTGATACAGATACACTTGAGCTGTGGCCAAGGGGGAAAAAAAAGATTTTACTTCATTTGACAAAACCATTATAGCAACATGACTGTGTTTGCTTCTATGCAAATGTACTATTCTAAGCACAGAAGGAAGAAAAACATTGAATTCCTCCCCCACACAAGGTCTGTGCTGTGTTTTATTGCTTTACAGCTACAGAGAGCAGGCAAGCAAGCACTCTGATTTGTGGAGCACTTGTAGCTCTAAACACTTACTGGAACAAGTTCAGATAATTCCCACTCTGTAATTAATTGACAGCCTTTGTACACTCCCTGCACTCAAGAAGGCTGTTAGTCTGTGACCAGCATTTATCATGTTTTTGTTCAATCGAAACAACAGAAACACTAGTGTTTAAACCACAGCCCAGTGTTGTTTCAGCAATTTTCTTGAGCAACAGGAGTTGGAGTAACAACCATGATGTCACACCTGCTGTTTTTATTGTCCAACAGACAACAGCAGCTGAAGTAACACGTCTTGGTTACAGCTCAGGTTGGGCAACCGTGACTTTACAGTGATAAGCAGCCAGGAACCTAAACCTTAACAGAACACTGCTGACCTACATTAAAACTGCAATCTCACCACGTGTTTGGAACACTACAGTGTCAGACCTTCCAAATGTAATTCCGCTATCGCCTGCGTCATG